CTAGTCAAGCAGATGAATTAAAATGTGCCCGTAAACATATGATGATAGGTTGCGCTGAGCTGACCTGAGTACTTCAGCCGATCGTTTCGAAATAAGATGATATGGCTAGTTATTCGCGTTTGCTGCTAGAAGGATTGCTAAATCTGATTATTGAGTCGTTGGCAAGATGTATAACATTGGTTTTCTGGTACCAGTAGACCTGAACCTCTGAACTCCGGGGTCTCTGAAGGAAACGATATCATTTTTTCTAAAAGAGGGGTAATCCAACTACGAAGTCCGACGAAGGATACGTGACTTTTCTGACAAGGAAGCACCAGTGTGATTCAACTTGGGGATCATGCAAATCCCATGACACGATTAGAAAATGGCCAGCTGAAGAATTCAGACCAATCCAGTACGGCCTATCATCACAGGCTTTACGTGATACTTTTCAACTTTTCTACTAGACCAGAATTTGAGCAAAAACATTATGACGTCCCTATTCATGAGGATCTCTGTGACAAATTAAATTGCAGCTCTGGAGGCTAGGCTCGTGAGAACTGAAACAACCGATGACAAGGAACACCCTACGACAACGAGTCACCTTCTTTCTGACCAAATTAATATATTTCTCAGAGGGAGTCAAAACCATAAACGGACTGAAGAGGGTCCAACCAATTATCATTCTGCCCTCTGGTAAGGGATGAACAACTGTCGTAGTGAATAGAGAAGACTGCAGTGCCCAAACTAAACTCTACTTGATGACAGACATTTTTACAGACTAGCCCAGAACTCACAATTCAAAACAGTAGTCTCTCGGCTGAATAAACTTCTTAGAGGATTCCGGCGCAAAAATGCAATTAGGGTGAATAAATGTCGTCAGGTGGGACAAGCAGACACTGATATGGCCCGGTCCTATGGCATGCCAAAAATCTACAAACAAAGTGTTCCGCTGCGGTCAATGGTTGCTCTAAAAGGCAGCCAGACCTATAGTATGGCAATGCTAATATACTCAAAAATGGCGTTACTCCAAGATTGTTCGATTACCGCAGTCGGCCAGGCCCCTAATTTCTTGCAAAATTCTGTATTCAGAGGATTCAGGTAGACGAAGTTGTGGTAGTTTTCGACACGATGTCATAATTTAAATCCACCTCACCGAACTTGTCGTACGGAGTCATGTGCAAGAGACTTGAGAAGACATATGACGAAATGCAGAACCCACTCGAAATTGAAAACCTCACAAGGTTGTTTGATTTTTGTCAAAATACCTGTTTGACTTTTGCTCGAGAAATCTATGAGGAGATCAAGGGAACTCCAAAGGGCTCCCCAGTCCTCGGTTTAGTGGCAGATTTGTTCCGACAGGAGACAGAAAAGATTGCTGTCATCCAGCATGAGTTGGTCTTTTAGCGCCATCATGTAGGCGACGCGTTTGTTACTGCCAAGAATAACATGCTACAGAAATCCCATAACCTGATCAACTCGATATTTCCAGATGCACAGTTTAAAAGGGCGGAAAAGGACTAATAGCTGGCCTTACTTAATGGACTCCTCAGATAGTCCTAACGGTGAAATTGCGACGAGGGTTTACAGGAGGATTACGAACACAATACACCTTCTCAGTTTTCGCAATAACCGTCCGATGGCTAACAAACGAAGGTGTTTTTGAACTTTCTTCAGGGGGATACAAGCACATTACGGCGACCCTGAAGACAAAACATGCGAGGCCAAACATCTTCGCGATCAGTTTACGAGGAATGGCTATTCGTAGGATTTATAAGCTGACGCCTGCGTGTTCGCCCCCGAGAACCCAAACAGAAACACCAATGACGAAAAGGGCATACCCTGCTATGCATCCAGGATGTTTCCGAGGCGATCGAACGCATTGCTGTGGGACTAGGCGTTGGAGTTGTACACCGACCCAAAACTGCCATGCACAGCAGTCAGGAAAAATAAAGACCGTTTACACCCCAGGGGACAATCTGGTGTAGTGCATCGTATCCCGTGCGTAAGTGTTCTTGTTTTTACACAGGTCAGGCTGAACGCACGCTCGGATCGCGGGTGCGCGAACACAGGCTATGTGACGAGGAGACGAGTTATTACACCATCGAAACGGGTCGCGAGATTAACTTTGCAGTCGACAGAATAACCGTCCATACCGGAATTAAAACAAGTCTCGGATTGATAGAAACCTGGGCCTTGGCTGAAAACTCAGCCAATCGATGAGTTGATCTGGCGCCAATATACAGAATCCTGCGTGGTCATCTTCAGACCTTCGACACTGGTTGTTGACTTGCTAATACACCCTATGTCTGTTCTGCTGCTGCTTTTGTCTCCGACGGACGCCTATACGAGTTTGAAAGCTTGGAAAAATGAACGGACGGTTTTGATGGTCGACCAGTCTCCTTCTTCCCTACTCACGCGTGCACCTGAGACCCGAACATTGGCCTCTTTTCGTTCAACATAGATTATATAGATAGACAAATAGGCAATAGGTAATACACATGTGAGAAGAAATTCGTGAAAGCCAAGTTCCTATAAAATACGGATAGCTTCTTTAGATAAACGACTTTTCATCATAGAATCGAGGCAGAATTTTGACCCAGTGGATAAATATATCTCCAAACTTCAATGAAACTTATGGTACCGTTGCTTGCGGACAATTTTTTGAGGAAAGAACGGTAAATTGGCAAATTGTTCTAACGAACACTCTTGTCCCTTTATGTAAAGAATGAAAAGAATGAATGTTTTGCAATGAATCGTTTTAAAGCAACCCTTTTGTACATGCACAAGGATATGCATTCACATTGAGCGCCAAACAAACATCAAGGCCAAAGGGGGCGGAGGAACCTTGAAACAGAAATTCGCAAACGTGTGCCAGAAGTTGCGGCAATATAAAACTACTGGCAACCTCCAAGACAAAAAGACCCGTGAAATCGCTTTCAAACTCATAAATATGGCCCTTCTTCATCCTTTTTGCATCAATATTTTCGAGAAGACGTGGCACAAGGACAGCTGGATAACGGAGTTTCCTATTCCGGTGTCTTGCCAGATCTTCTTTCTATCTCTGCAACCTACTGTTTTTTTAGCCTGCGTCTTCATCCACAATTTGTGGTGATGGCAGTAATAATATTATTGCCCGGTTCAGTAAGTGTATTAGGGATTAGTGGCCGTAGTGTCAAAGTCGACGCCTGATTACCGATGGCTTGGGAGGCAACAGTGGAGCGGATATGACAAACAAGACGACCAATCCAGACTTCCGAAAAATGGCGCAACAACTTTCTGGCCTGTCACAGTTCACGAAAAAAGGCAAGTAAATCAGATGACAGGCAGCCACTAAAGGCGACTATACTGAACACTTGCGGCCTATCTATCGCTGTCAGTCAGCCATAATCAAACTACACTCAGAGATAACCAGCGGTCTTATCAGTAGAAGTTCTCCGCAGGTCGAGACAGAAAGTCATGACTTGTCGGCCGTGATTACTAATGGTCAAATTCTGATTGTAGAATGGGATACAGACTTCTCATTTACCTTTGTGCACCGGTCTAGAGCTCATAGGCGGTTGAATAGCAAAGACCAATCCGTATTCGAGACCATTTTTAAGATAGGTAATATGTTTGTCCAAGCTACGACTTATTATTTTTCGAAAGTTGATTTCGGGATTTTTATTTCTATCTAGTTATATCTGTCGTGACCTTCTACAATGGGGCACACAAAAGCGTCCGTCTCACGTTTCCGCTTACCTCATCTTTTTGTCTTTGTTTGATCGAGGGTTTTTGATTTTAGTAAAATTCCATTTTGAAGTCATGAAATTACAATCCTTGTTAAAACAGAATGGACTGATCTTGGTGGACCGAATTTGCACTGTTATAATTCTACGTTCAAAGGCAAAAATCCTCCCCTCCACTACAGGCCTGATTATCCGTTTTCAAGAAAATTAGAAACAGCGTCAAGTCGATTTACCAAATTGGTTTTATGACTGGCGTAAGGGAGTAGTACATCACTAACAAATATGAACAGCTAGACATGGAGAAAAACATGCAGAACCGTAGTGCTTTCTCATGAATTCGATAAATTACCAGAAAATCTGAGCGAAAACAAGCGTATTCAAAAGTGATTCGAAATGACCTGCCGAATATTGAAAGGAATTTCTAGAAGGCTTGATTTCTTCTCTCAGGAAACGGAAAACATTAACATTTATATTTCGGATGTGCATTTAATATCATTTTAACGCGAGGGATCATATAATAACCAACAGAGGCCTGGGAAACTATGATGCTTATCTTATAATTATGACATAAAATTTTAGTTTCGTAACCGGCACCACCGATGTAGCGATTAAAGGCAGAAATAAACATGCCCAGATGTCAGCTAGAACTTTTAACCGACAAGACAACGGGCCCGTGGCTTAGTGGTTAGAGACGTTGAATTTCTAACTAACTAGCGTCGGGATCGAGTTCCATGTTTTCCACACTTCGGGGCTGGGTATGACTGACTGACGACGGCTAATATGCCAGAAATGACCATTCCTTGTCTCCCTTGTCTTTGTTGGTAATAAAATTCTGCCTTTTAACTGGTCTCTATCGGTAGATATCTTTGTCGACACGAATCCGACCTCCATTGACCTGTTAAACTGGACCGTAGAGATTTCTGGACTGGCAGCAAATGATGCATGTTTATCTGTCGGTCCACACCGTGGGCAAAAAGTTATGAAGCATGGATTACTTTCCCGAATTCTCTTGCTCAACAAAAAGGCCTCATTGATCATAATGCTAATGAGATTCCCAAGTATGTTAGAAAAAGAGGAAGAAGCTATCAGTGAACACCAAATACTGGCAACTGCAAATTATGGTAGCAGAACCGTCTTGGGATTCCCCGATGGGCACAGATAACAAATCATTCAAACCTAGGGGATTACGCGGACACAACTGATGTACACACCGGTATTTCCAATTGAATTCCTAACCGCTTCTCGGATTCCAAAATATTTGTTGATGAAAAGCTGCATAGATCCTCCAAAAATTCAAACTAAGATCAGAGTCGTCATGATGATCTCATCATCATCATCATCATCATCATCATCATCATCATCATCATCATCATCATCATCATCATCATCATCATCATCATCATCATCATCATCATCATCATCATCATCATCATCATCATCATCATCTTCTTCTTCTTCTTCTTCTTCTTCTTCTTCTTCCTCTTCTTCTTCTTCATCGGATAACAAAGCTGTTTGGAAGAGTTAAAGGTAATGAGAAGTCGGATAGTTGATATGTTAGTCCATAAATCGTGCAACACCGTGAACTTTCCCGGCCATCCATTTCTATCTCAAACGAAAAACGATTGGTTCTTTGGAAGTTACATACATCTAGTTGATGTTCGCCACTTACAAAATGTTACTTGTTTTGTATTGGAAATACTAAAAAACTGAATCAGAAACTCTGATCTGCAGATAAACTATTAGTTTACGAACGAACGGAGTGGGTCAGTCCGAAAAAATAGATAAGTTGCAGATGCGTTACTGAATATAAATGAACTGCAAATTCTGCAGTTTTATCGAGCCAACTTGGAAAAGAGTTCCTTCTTCCTGAATCACGTTTGCTCTCAAGTCAGCATCTGAAAATATGCGTTTTATTCCTACCAAAAGACTAGTGAGCTACCTAAGACTTCGAAGCGGGATTTGGTCTTTAACTATTTACAAAATTCTCGAAGTACTCGCAAGATTTATCACCTGAGGGAATTGTGTCATTTATTTTTCTGTGGACATGGGACACTTAAATGCTTGAAAAATATAGGAAATGTTGAGATTAATTTGACAAGACTGGTAAGCAACCGCCCGACAAAACACATCAAAGCAAGAAATCAGAAGAGTTTTCCACTGGAAGTCCTTTAAATGTCAAACCACTTCGAAGGTTAGGAAAAACCGATATCTGGCTTTTTATTTTCATCTAATGAAAACAGTAATAATAAGCCAAACTTCAAAAGTAGACGGGAAAATTTTGTATTCTATAAATAATGACTGTTCACTCGTCTCGGTTGGAGTGTTCTTAACCGGACACCACCTTGTTAATACTTCTGAATGCAGTCCATGAAAACGGGATGCCACATCATCATGAGACAGAAAGATCTCTCGCAGATGACAACTAGTCGTATCTCAGCTGCTGTTTAGGAAGACGCGGGGCTACAACCTGCATTCTTTTTTTCTTGAGAATACAGCCAAACGATCTGTCACTGAGGCACAGGGCGCAAGCTCGATTGAGAAACACACAGTGTTTTAGTAGTTAATATTTTCCAAGTTCAGCATGTACAAGCCTTTGGAAAGATGAACTGTCAAAAGGTAGTGTGAATTACTCTGGCGGCATATTTTCTTTTGATCGGCGTTGCATTTCATTCTTGTACTATTCCTCATGTGAAGGTATACTTAATTTGACCGACGTTATGGCATCGAGGCTTCAAGCTTAAACACCAAGCTAACTCATTTGTGTCTTAGTGCTTCTCGATGCTGGTGGCCCCGATCACCATCACGAGTGTGGGTGCAGTCGGGGAATTTTCCACCCAGATTTCTATTACGGAGCTCCGTAGAACGAAGAATTTTCTTGAAGTTAGAGCAAAGTGCTGGTCCACCAACTCCAACGGCACCCGGTTACCACCCCCTGGCTATTTATTACCCTCGTTTCTTTTCCATACAACTCTCCATACCAACCAAATGCGACTTCCGGATTTGAATTAGATACGGAATCTTAGCCATATATGAACATAAAGTGCTGTAAACGACAAGCGCTTTCAAATGTGTCCATATTTGGGTCTTTTAACTTACCATCCGTTCAACTTCTGTTTGTTGAACAAAAACAGTGAACATAAAGCGGATGCTCTTTCCAACCGGAGTAGAAAATGGAAGACGGTGTCCCGTAGCTTGGAGAGGCTGTGTTTCCTGTATTGGCGGATCATAAAGACTCGCCATGAACAATGGTGAGTATAAGTGACATAAGATCAAGAAAATCGGGAATCCCAAATCAAGATAAGCGAAAATCAAATAATACCTAAGTTAATTTAAGATCTGTCCAATCAACCACGTGAGGACAGAGTTCTTTAAAGTAGTTCACTGTCAGCCAAGCTCTGCTGGCCCGCAACAAACTGAACAGAGTAAAGTTCTGCCGTCGCCGGGGCAGCGATACGGTGTAGGACCCCCAATTAACTTGAGCTAGCCTGTAGAGGGGGTTTTACAGGTGGGGCAACACACACGACGGAGGGCAAGAAGACACAAAAAATGGGTAAACTTCTGCCGAACGTCTTATCGTTAGCTGTCATTTGGAAAAGAAAGTGAGCGCGGTAATAAAAAAAAATGAAAGTCAATTTTCAAAAAATAACGGACTTTGAATAAAGCGCCCTGGTAGGTTTACTTTTAGCCAGGAAGAGAAGGAAATTTCAAACAATAGGAACGGTGAATAATAAGTTATGTTAACAGTCACACTGAATTTTAGGATATATTTCTGGAGTTACAACCTACTTGGGTGCCCTACACCCTATCGTTACCGTTGCCGGTTATATGGATTTTAGTTCACCGCTCTTGACAAACGGTTCCATCGCCTCAGGGCAGTGACCGGCCAAGGTGGCGGCAGCAACGTGCGAACCATTCAGCCATTGGGGCATAGGCATCACTATCTTTGTCCTGCTTTCATGAAAGTAATTTTTAAAAATTAGTGGACTTCTGGGTCTATGTGGCGACACACCCGTAATCACTTGCCAAACACCTGTTTGTCGTGGAACACTGTGCCAGATGCAGGGTTAAATTTAGCAACATGGAGAATTTTGCAATAGACCTTGGGGATTGCACGTTCACTTTTGGTCGCAATCCTTGCTGTGCATGCTTTCTGAATAGGAAATCCGAAGCCAGGGCTTTCGAAGTCAGCTACTAGTAGTTCGTAAGCTTTACTGGAATGCCTCACAAATGTCTCTCCCTGCCTCCTGACTCAGGATCCTTGGCCCACCGTCCGTGTTCGGAAGGTAGTCAAAGAGGCCGGATCCGTCTACTGAACTAAATGTCGGCCTAGTAATTTTAATAAGGTCCATAGGTACGATGATAGCCGAGGATTTAGTTACTGGTATGCCTGTCCACCACCTGTCGTGCAGTCCCCCTGGTCTCGGAGACAAATCCGGGCTAGCGCGGTGGAGGTGGAACACTGCAGTGCGCACGTGCGTGTTGGCTCGCGAAATCTGGGTCTGGTGGCGTTAGTTACCACCCGCGCAGGGGGGACTGGTCGTTGAATCGGCTGCCCCCACTGCTGGAGCCAACGTCCGTTGACACTAGGGCGTTAACTGACGTCTGTAATCCTCTCTCCGAGGGCAGTCCCTTCGACCGTTGTCTCCACCCCGTAACCACCGTCGTAACGGCAGTCAGTTAGCAATGGCGGATATATGAGTGGAGGCGGAGAGGTCTACAGTATGAAGAACGGAAGTCCGGTATTCGTGCCTGCACATAACATCGTCATCAGCAGCAGCAGCAGCGGCGGCAGCAGCAGCAGCAGCAACAGCAACGGCTGCGGCGATCCTAGAACAGGTGCGCGTGCATGCGACTGATACGAGTAATGTGTCCCGTGACCTGGCGTGCGGATTAGGCGGAAGCCCAGATTGATGGGTAAACGTCTCTCCCTGTCACGTGCATAACTGCGATAGAGGAACTGGCGCTCTGAAAAACGTCCCACCCCTTCCTTCAACTAACTTGGTAAACTGCTCTAGCTTCGGTTAATGCCCACTGTCTGCCCGATATATGATGCAGCAGAGTGTCATTAGTAAGACAAAAGAAGACGACGTTTTGAACAAAATGGTATAACTAAACGCCACGGTGAGACGCTTCATTAGTCCACTTTTGACAGGTATTTTGAATCAAGCAAACCAGGGGTTAACAGAAGCCCAAAACATAGCCGAACTTTCGAAGGTCTAATCATTTGATAAAAAGTATATAGGATCAATAAGCAATTGCCCAAAATGATGGCTCTGAAAGTGAGAGAAAATTGGAAGAATCAACTGAACTGATTGGGAATATAATCCGGCTGGAAGCGACTTGGCGGGAGACATATAGTCTAGGGACACAAGCTTAATTACAACACCGAAAACTGCATTATAATCCAAATATTTCCTCTAGACAATCTAGTAGGGACATCCAAGAGTCATAGGCTTGCCTTCAAACGGTGACTTCATGATTGAGCGATCGGCTGACGGGCCTGCTGTGCTGCCTGCAGAAACAGAAGCAGCTATCCTAGTCGAGATGTATCAATCATAATAACAATTAGCAAGAGTATTTTTAAGAACATGAGACAGATAGGGGAAATTGCTTCGGTCACAGCACCGATATTAGGCACATTCTAGTATTTTCACGTCGAAAAGGTTTTATGCGTCCGGTGCTGGTTACAATTTTTTAATTTTACCATTTTAAGATCGGGGCCATGCTTTTATTATAGCAGTGGGCAGGTGTTTCCGTCTGCTTTAAACTCTTAGAATCAACCCACTTTCCCCGAGTATTGCATAAAATAGCATTTGGGTGGGATTAGTGAAGGAAGCTAATACACACTTATTATGGACATTAATACCGAATGATGTTGCATGACGCTTTGCACATTTGACGTGAAGGGGCTGGGCAGAAATAAAAATGGACCCAGTCTAATGGCAACATTATAACTACGCGCGATGATCATTCTCGGATGATTTATTCCTAAGACACAACGAAAACCAGCACCACCTGGAAAGAGCGACGGTGACTTGTGTGTAGGCAGTGTTAGTGAGGAAGAATCGCGCAAACTTAGATTCCACGAATCTTTTTGGAACCATCATATCCATTAGAAATCCTAAGTCCGAAGGACTGCGAGTATGCTTGGACGCAGACAGTGATAGGTCAGCTACAGTCATCTCCTGTGCCCTAAGGCCACGGCTGTGAAAGGCGGTTGTGTGAAGCAACGTTCATGGCGTTGGATGGACCGGCAAATATACATAGATGGGATGAGTGTTTCGTTGACCACCGTGTGCATAACGATTTCCAGTCGCCCTAACATGCCGTATTGTTGAGATACGATTAGTGTGTGAGGGGAGAGTAAAGCCGAGACCTCTAAAATCTTCGTCACTATAATTTAAAGAAGGCACTGGCCCTCATTGCGATTACTTCAGGCAATACATGACAATGTCGCTCAATAAGGACGTCTACCAGATAGTCGCTTACAGGAGAGCAGAAAGGGGACAAGAGATCATGACCTTCAAGTCCAGGTCAAGTGGATTGAGAAGATATTTGCCTGAATGCAGATTTGATTAGGAAGATAAGCACATATTCCACTGCGAAGAAGGAGACACGATCGCTGGGACAAGAGCTTTATTCGTCCGACGTTTCGGATTCCTGCTCGAACCCATCATCAGAGACAAAAGGAGATACGGGTGGTTCATGCACAAGGGGCTGCAGTATTTATAGGATGTAGTCGTCATGTCACCGTTCACGGCTCCCCCTTCATCAGGGATCGTTGCACTTGGTGTAATGACCGCTTGATAGCCGACACTCGCGTCGTTAATTGCTGCAATTTCATCACGGGTGTTGGATGTTGGAGTGATGATTGCTCGACCATCTGACCCACCGACCCTGGCGTTGGGAACTGCGTTCATCTGTGCGTTCCCCGCGTGGCTAAGTGCTCCGCCTAGGAGAAGTCTCAACACCGAGTATGGAAGGGGAAGGTCGTATCTGCTTTTGTCTCTGATGATAGGTTCGAGCAGGAATCCGAAACGTCAGGCAAATAAAGCGCTTGTCTCAGCGATCGTGTCTCCTTCTTCACGACTACTTCCTGGGACTCGTCTCTCTGCTTCTATTGACAACATATCCCACTGTTCGTTGCATGTGGTGGCTATCATTGCGCAGCGGGACACCGGAACGACGGACGTCTTACAAAAAAAACTCGAGGTAAGCAGCAGACCATAGAAGTTTTAAAATGAGGAAACTAGAACAGTCTGGCTTTTCAAGCTGTGGGTTCTCAGAATACCTAGAAGATTAGCTAGGAAGTATATGATCAGATCCTAAACCAAGCACCAAATTTCCTGGATAGATTCAAAATGTAACCAGAAAGACTCACTTGTCACTCCAATCTCTCCTTTTTCCGGCTGAACTTTTCGATTAATCACTGATAACAGATCGGAGTTCCAAGGCAAAACTGGACGCCTGTTCACCATACTCTAAAGAGAACAGGTTACTGAAGGTCGCTCCCTTAGGACTGAATATTTGCGATGGAAACGGACAAGACTGTAAGAGTCAGTGCTAGGGCGTTAGATCATTGATCAAATGAACTCATACTCGCGCCTCGGGTCTGTTTCGATTGAACTTGGGTATAAGAGGCAAACAAACTGGTCTCCCTTTTATATGTGGCTGGTAAGCCTAAATAAACTCATTTTACAAGGAAACCTCAGAAGTCCTGTTTCTTTTTCGGGAAAAGGTCGCTCCTAGTTTTTCTCCTTGCGTAAACCTTTGACTTACGAAAGCTCTGTTTATTGAGGATCTGCAAAGTCGTGACAACTTGTTAATGACAGGTTGAAGAGAGGGATTTCGATGAGCTACCAAGTTACTTCAAAGTAGTCAAACAGATTTGTTTCTGAAATCAGGTGCACATACGGGTTTCAGTATCACGGACTGTGACAGCTCAGCGGGATAGGGGTGCCAATGTCTATAACCGACCATAATACCTTGTCCAGTAATGAAAGACGTTCTCAAAATTTTAAAACTGAGAGCTGAATAGGAAAACTTTCGCATTAGTGACAACAAATGGCTTACTATCCACCGTAGGCTAGGTGCTTCGTACCGAGTGAACATTCGAAGTATCTAAATAAGGATTTAGTTGGTGGATTCTTCGCCGCTTTTTCACCAATCAGAGCTTCTTTACAATAGCAGTTGTTGGTAACTTCCCTTTTTTGACATTGCAAGTCAGATCAAAGAGGGACGCAAGAATTATTTAGTGAGGTTTTTGTCTTTTTATCCAAAAGGGAGATCCCAAACTGCGTTGAACCTCAATGGAACGCTCTTAATTACAAGTGCACGGGCACTTTGGGTTTAAAATTATTAGATAAATAAAAACCCCTTTAAAAACAGATATGACTTCTCTTAGAGTAAAAAGTTTAAAGAAGACGTAAGTTCCCGTCAAATGAGTGCAAACAATACTATTTTTGTTGCGTTTTCTATAAAATATGTTTGGGGTTATATGGACACGGAAGATAAATGAAAAAGTGTGTACTAGTTAAGCAACAACTTTTGCTCATAATAATTTTTGTAGCCGACCAAAAGAAACGCATGCAAAGAGCGACATTCTGACATGACTGAAATATGTTAAGTTTATGCGGTACGATAATAAATATTACAGCCCCTTATGTTATACTTTCTAATAGGAAACGTATATCAAAATTTCGGTCGGCATTTAATGAGGTACGTCAGCCACTGCTATAAAAATGATAATTTTTAAAACTTAACGCTGACTAAGACTATGCATAAACACTTAACCGATATTCCAGCAATTGCGCACTCTGAGTTTTTCCTCTTGCGGCACATAGCAAACAATAGTTATGCAAAGCCTAGGTATTTATGCTGATTTATTTCCAAGTCGGACTAAACTATGATGGAGGCACATTCTCCGCCTAGAAGGTGGGATTCCCAATCGATCTGGTTAAAGTGTGGGCCTCTTCTTCAGCTGCATCTACAGAAAAAGTTCGCGAAGAATAAAGCAGCGATTCAAACAAGTACTACTGAAAGACGTACAAGTAATGCAGTTGTATGGCAGGCATCGACATAATGCTTCGTGATGTCTGCGGCATCATTTCCTATCTTTCCTCTCTTGTCGCTCTAGAACATCTACACCGAATCCAGCTTAGGTCGTTTCTGATGCGCTGCAAACCTCCGGCTCATGCATATCACGCACTCGTTTGATCTAAGGAGATTACCCGTCTTGGCATCGCAAAATGTCTACCAGTGATTATTGCGCGACATTTGGTTACGAACGTGTCCAAAGGGTAAGTTTGCTAGCGAACGTCTTAGAGTCCTTGACCAACTCTCAGCACTCAGCCTACTTGAAGAAAAGCAAAACTGCCAAAGTTTGCCAGGACGCAAACGAGAAGTCCGTGCAAAGTTGACTGGACGCTACCTAGCAGTAGTCGGTAGATCGCACACTAGCTGAGTTCGTCGCAAATGCACATACACCTGCTGACTTCGAGGACTGGCGTGTACGGGTACAGGCCCTGCGCGTTACTGAGGTTGTCGTTGTACAAGATAAACTGCTGCCAGGTGCCAGCATGCGACATCGGCCGCAACAGCGGATGCATCAGTGGCCGTAATGGCAGCGGCGCAAAAGGCGATAAACCACTGTATACGCGCGGGCAAAAGTTGTGCAGAGGAGTGCTCAGGAGCGAAAATTCAGCTCCTCCCTGAGGGTCCTGGTAACGAGCACAAGTCGGACGCACCTAAATACAGAAAGCAGCGCGTCGTCCAGGAACTAGGTCCTTTGAGACCGTCGGTGGTCTCTGAGTAGAGAGTGAGATCAAAGCGTCTGCGGCATTGGCCTGGGTACGTCCGCGTCTGTATCGAAAGGAAATAACAGAGTGATCTACGGGCGCCTGACAGCTCAAGCCGCTACCAGGCAGCAGCAGCCACCACACAAGTGGTAATGGCGACAACTGTATATCCCGCCTCTGTCGAATTAGAACATCTGGGTGGAGCAACCGATCTCGGGGTGGCTTGAAAGGAGGAAGACGGGAGGGCGGGTAAAGGGCCAATGTGAGGTGAAGAAAGAGATCTTTCGGAATAAAAAGTAATTACCAACATCGTTGGAAGTTTCAGAAAGTTGGAGTTCATTGGTTACAGCTGTTCTTTTGAAAGCCGCGTACTTGCACACCAATGGAGTCCCTTAGCCGAAAGTTCGGAACGCTGAAGAATTCTTCCCGCCTCAGAGTGCAGAATATTAAAAATGGCTTAGCTAGCTAGCTACTAGTAACTATGGGTAATTGCTTACCTTTTGAGCATCATCATCATCATCATCATCATCATCATCATCATCATCATCATCATCATCATCATCATCATCATCATCATCATCATCATCATCATCATCATCATCATCATCATCATCATCATCATCATCATCATCATCACCTCCTAGTTTTGCCAACTCCGGTTTATTCATTCCCATCTCGTTCCGATCCCATTTATTATACCTTCACTAACTGCTATTTCGCTCAAACATGTGGCTGCTTTTTTCCTTCTTAAATTGAAACCTCTTAATAAACTGGGGAATTCTCGCCCAGAAATTCTGGCGAAACCTACCTAGTTTGAACAGTTGGGTTTAATACTTCAAGCGAATTAATTCAAATCCTTTTCATGTGACGCTGAAGCCAAAATACATTATCCTATAAATGTGCACGTCACGTGCCAAAATTTCACATCGAGACATACTTAGGACTGGACAGAAATATGTCAAACGTCCACTGCCATTTTTTAACTTTTCACTGAAGATCCACTAGTTTTCCTGATGACTAGTGTTTACATAAGGCATAAATTGTTTCGTTATCCTTTGTGTGAATTTATTCCACTCCGGTGATTGCGCCGTCAGTACAGAAGTTCACCTGTCACCTATAAGAATTGCGACCAACAATTTCTTCTGACGAAACAAATCTCCCGCATTGTATGCTTAAGGCAGAGGCAGTGAAATACCCTAGTCAGATTGCTGTACATCATAGTGTGCCATACAAACGAATACATTAGCCACAAATTCCACGAATTATGCATTTGTGAATCTATACTGTATAATAAAGGTTTATTGTCACCAAGGCAAAAAAGAACTGACAAAACGTTGTCTAGAGAAGCCGAAATCCATGATAATGGACTCATTTCCCACATTGCGAAGGGTAATTAGAGAGAGTTGAAATTTCTTAAATTTATTTTGAAATAAAAACTCTAAAACGGTCTACGTAATTAAAATGCATTGTTCCCATTTCGTATTTACCATATGCTCCTCTGGTGCTTCGGAAAGAACCCATCTATCCAATGGCCAAAATGATGCTCTTCGGAAATGACATTCTACCGAACCAATACGCTAAATCATTGACTAGGACAATTAAATAAATGAACGAGAGAGAAACTGAATGTAATGATCCAGATATAAAACTTATACAATTAGTTACATTTATGACTGACATATTTTTCTGGACTTCCACTCATTCACTCTCCTTTACAATGCTAAAACTCATTCGGGCTACTAATGTTAACAACAGTCAGTTAAATGGTGTACGGCCGGTTAATTTTAACGGTGCTAGGGGTAAAAGCCATTCCATCGAGCGAATAAAGATCCTCAACCAAGGATGGTCACGGTCGTGCTGAACTCTGAAGAGTTAATTTGGAATATCTTCCCTCCGCATAAAGGAAATAGAATGATCTCATTTAACTTTCGTTCGGACGCTCTCTATCGTCGGAATATTCCATCGTTTCCGCCTTTCGACCTTTACGTCCCTCAAATCATGGTTTCAGTCTCCAAAATCTTCAGGGTGTACTGACTCTGGATGATTACCACAATGCTATCTAGATACACATCTTTGAGAATAAGACAAACATTCGACAATATATTTAGTGCAATACTGGCTCATGCATTGGGAATTCTAAAAGTCAAATTTTTTGTTCCCTATGTGACGTTACTTGTGTATGCGATCTATGGCAGCAGTTTCTGGCAGAATAGTCTCAGCTATTGACTCACAGCTTTGAAGCCAACAATTATAATTCCAGGACAGTTTGAGAATATCTTCATAATGGAAATTCAATTGGCATCACTGAGTATCCAAAGGGAGATGAGAGGTCACCTGAGCGTGTGATCCCAGAAAAAGATGGCGACTCAGCGTACTTTTTGTTTTAGAATAGACCGTCAGGTGAAAGTCTGCTAGTGTTTAGGAGAAGAACCCGTAGGTGTGTGGCCGAGTAGGACAGTCAAAAACCTATGGTTAATCACTCCAACACAAAGTCGTCTTTGTTTTGACTAAATACTGTCACGGGAATGTAGTGAGAATGGACACCAAGACGAAGATGGTATTAGTGGAGGTGCTTTCTTACCCCTAATCAAAGTGAACCCAAGTAACAAGTAAGCCACAGGTTGTGATGGCTTTTAATGGATGCGACGAATAGTTGCGCATGCCATGATTGGATTCTTATTAACTTCCACTGTTTATTTTACGACATAGGAAGAATAAGCACAGACCTGTCGCCCAACGAAAAGGAGCCGTATTTAATAGGAAAAAGAGATTTGTCGAGGTCCTCGAACAGGGAAGAAAAACCATCCCAGCTGTGGATGCGTCACTGAAGCGCAAATAAACAGTATTCAAAAAACGAATTTGTGCACTCATGTGATCAGCATGCCATCTCGAAAGAAATGCTGTGTGAACTGGGTTGGATCTGAACATGCATAAATAAGTGGCTTGGACGCAACTAATGTAAAGTGCACATTCACCACCGGTCAACCATCTTTGAAAATAACGTGAACTTTCAGAACACTCTGGTTATCCTTACAAACGTACCCAACCATTTGCCTTTATCGGCTTTGTCTTGGCAACTGTCCTCAACATGGCTTTGCATGTGGGATAAAGTAGGTCGGTTATAAGCTCATAAATTTCAGTAGACGTGAGCTAATCATTGAGAAAAAGCGCTCTTTTTGCGCACTTAACTTCTTCATTTAACCCATGCAATTTGAGTATAAAAAGTACCCCATAGACGAATATTACTTCTAAACGCAAGAAAACGAAAGACGGTGCATAGTCAAAGACTGCGGAATAGAGCATATCAACTATGCGCATTAACTAATAGTCCTTGCGGGGGAGAAAGGAGATATCGATTAATGGCACGGACAATCAGCTCTTATACGACAGCACGGAAACAGGTATCCTGCGCCAACTTGGGAGTTTATCATTGAATGGGTGTCATAGTAAGAGAAATTTTTACCGTGCAATATCCCGACTTTCCATATTCTGTCTCTAGGAGAGTTCAAAAGTATAGCCTTTGGAAATGCTTTTAAAAACCATTGGTCTTCTGGCTGCAAATCTGATGTAGTTATGGAAAACAAACAATGGCTCCTTCTAGCACAAAATACAAACAGTCAACATCATGTTGATTCGGGATTACGCACATGTATCAGTACTGTCTTAATACATGGCCCGTGCTTACAGTGGCCAGCGATTCTTCCGTCGCCTCTTCACTTCCTTGGCCGTGCGTTGCGCACATCTTAGACTGCACTGCTGCCTGCCAAACGATCCAAACGTCCAATGTTGCTGCTTTAATATCTCCGAGGATGTACAAGACACAGAACTCAGAAGAATAAATCTTTCTTTTCGACGTTTTACCAGGCTTCCTCCTAGCTTGGTGCCGTACCTCTTCGGCCCCTACAGCGCTAGCCGACCATCAATTGTCCCCGACCGTGCTGATGGTTTTCAAAGGTTGTCATTGGTCAATTATTAGCCATTTCGGCCAATCAGGAAGCGCAAACACTCTTGCTAGAAGCGTCAGAGTGAGCGGTGATGCTCTGAACGTACAGGCGTGCGCTTACACACAAATCACTTGATGCGAACAAGCGAAACCAGTGAAAGCAACGAAGCGGGAGCCCTTACTCTCTGTCTACCTGTGTGCTGTGACGGTCATGCCTTGGATATAAAAAACTAACGGCCCTCTCGCTAACAGTTTACAGTATCAGACAACAAGGTTCATACTATTTTTCCAACCTCGGCCGCATCTGCGAGCCACCCCAAACGAAGATGGCCAAACCGGTAGCTTTCTTGCCTTGGCTAATGACGGTTATAATTATACTTCACCCGAGTCTTGCCGCAAATTCCTTCCAGTCACAAGATCATAGATTGCTCAACGCCACTGGAGAGCAGAACCTGGATATTCAGGTGGGTCAGGCCCTGCGACACTCCAACGCTGTCAGTTATCATGACCGAAATACACAACGCCCACACATCATGGCTAAAGCCAGGTCCGTGATGCCAAGTCAACGGTCACATTCGTCGAGTAAGCAGGCCACAGACGAAGCTGAAGCCAAAACCGGGGGACGGGGTCTGTCGTTATCCAGTCACACCCCCATCAGCCTGGGTCATTTGACGAAAACCCTGAAGGATACCCGTTCCCAGCGTCCCTCATCTCATTCACCAACAACCCCACCAACAATGACTGCCAGATGGGGCACTAAACCAACGATGCGTGTGATGGGACAGTCTTTTAACGACCCAACCATCAGTCGCCTTCATCCGGATCTTAATTCACGACACTTTCGACGCCTGTGGAATCTACTCAGGAGCGACGACGATCGGCATTGGACCTCGGAAGAACCGCCTCGCGTTTTAAGACAACGCGGAGTCTCCAACACGATGTCTGACGCTAGCGGCCCACAGACTGCCCCCGTGGATGTCGGTCTTTTGCGTAAGGCCAACTCACTTAATCTGACTTTTCGAGATCAAACCGGAGCTCAGTTCCTTCTGCCTGAGCCACAAATCCAACTGTTTCGCAACTGGCTCATCGAACAGGCTACTTGCGAGATGGATTTTATCTGGAAGGACCTAGGGTCCCTCTACTGGCCGCGGTGGATCCGCATGGGCGTTTGCCTGAGCCGTTTAGGTAGTTCTTGTTCCTGGCCACCGGGCATGAAATGTCAGCCCTCGGGATCCCGCGTGCTTCGCCTCCTAAACTGGAACTGCGAAGATGCCCTGCAGTCGCAGTCTGGCACTTCCGAGGGAGTCCCTGCAGACGCCGATAATACTCCCCTGCAGCGTAGAGCACGAGCCATAATTAACTTGCCCGGCCATTTGGGTTCATCCCTCTATGCTCGCAGTCCTGTTATTAACCTGCGTGCGCATCTCCAAAATGCCAAGGTTCCCGCCTCAGCCGAGGGCCCGGTCGCACCCCAGTTTGACCAGGGGGCTCAAAGCAGCGTCTTCCAACGACCGCCGCGGTCATACTCTCAGAGCCCCCATTGGCGATATTACACTGCGGCTCGTCGACGCAAAGGCCGCCGTGATGTAGAACTTACAGCTGCTGAGGAGGAAGAACGTAAGACACGCAAAGCAAAGAGGTTGATGAGGAAACTCAGTGTCACTTCAAACGGATTTCACTGCTATTGGCAGGTGCAGAAGTACCTGATTAGCGACAAGTGTACCTGCTCGTGTGCCTGACTGTCGATTCTAGAACCATAATACACCAACCTTACCCCTGAACTCACCGTTAGCGCGCTCGTTGCATGCATTTGTATTGGACTCTTTCATTTTTCCCCGGCGCGCATTTACACTCTGGGGAGAAAGTAAAAACGGTAAGACCGACATTTTCAAATCACCAGGCGTAAGCAATCAGAATTTAATTGTTCATTCTCATCATCTCTTGCACCTGTAATCATAGTCATTATTTCAGTAACAATTATCCCTACTATTGCACCTACTTCAGCTCCCCCAGCCATGGCAGGTAAAAGGGGGGATAAGGAGTTTTCTTCGTCCTAACAGAGATTTTTTGAACTAATGATAGCCTTTTGGACATTAATGGATGGGACGCGATTTCATACAGAGGCAAATGCAGAAGACCTTTGCTCATCATCTGATATATCAAAGAAAGTTTTTGTGTGTTCCACCAGTTTGAAGTGACGGTAGGCCTGCGCAATTTTAGTCTTTTGCGAGCAAGGGAATATTTTTGCAAAATTCTAGAAATATTCGGTGGTTGAAACGGATGCACTGTCAACATTGCTGGACTGATAATCAGCCATATTTGACTTAAAGTTCAGAAGATAGTGGCCTCAAATTTCCAGTGAATATAAATTGGTCTCATTAAAAGGCGTTGATGGGGATCGCTGCGTCTTCGCACGGTATGGTGAAGGTACGCTTGACTTCCCGGTACTCTACGGATTCCAAAATTCCAGTCTAAGTTAGGTAACCTTCGACTGCATAATGAATTCTAAAATACATCTCGTTCATTAACATAAGATCTTCGCGCCCTTCTTAATATACTGCTGTATACTTATATGCAGTTCATAATTCATGCATCCCTGTTTCGCAGTCCTTCTAAATACCTGGTTTTCATCACGATACTGGTGAGTAGATGTTCAAGCTGAATGTCAAAAATATGCTCAAGCAAAAATGAAAACGAACGGGATCTCTCATTGCTGATTGCATCACTACTTGCTATACTTGCGTGCCTCCAAACCTATACATGAAAAATTTAGCGGGCTTAAAGTGGGGAAACAAGTGATACTGTGGACGAAGAAAGATACTCATATGAGGCCTTCTTCAATAAAAAGCACGCAAAATTAACAATTAGAATGAACACACTACATGGCTGGCTGTTGCACGTATTCATTTCTGTGGAGTTGTTCAGGTAATTTTTTGGGTTCTGATCGCCAAGCACTTAGATGCCTCTATGCAATGCGCCTCTTCCAGACAATTTAAGCCACCCTCGGACTCTTAAACCTGACAAGCAAGTCAAAGGCCCTCCGCCGTTTAAATATCATCGAAGGTCTAACAAGTGGAAAAATTCGTTGTTTGAAGTTCAGGTAGGGATTGCAAGTTTCAGACTTTTTATGTTGATATGATGTAAGCATATTCTTTGGTTAGTGTTCCTTACCTCACGCTTATTTGTAAGCAGTACTGCTGATTTACTGAGTACTCTACATTGAATAAACGTCATCGAGTTTTCAAGTTTAGAACTTTTACAGAAAACTCAGTAGTTTTAATTGACATTTATTAAACCAATTCACGACCGATCGAAATCGGTTTTACCTTTTGATATACGATGAGTTTAGAGTGTCAGTTATAAAGAATTTGAAATGCCGCCATTAACAAGTGTGCATATTTTGCACAATTATTGCGAATTCGGAAACCATTTTCGAGGGTCAATAATGACTGCCCTGTGTCTGCGAAATAACAATGGGTGTACGCGTTTTACGAAAGCCGTTTGCATAATCGTAAAGGCTGAGGCCGATGGAAAAGACATTTTCATAACTGCACTTTGCATGCTTGAAAGCAAACCACTTCTCAGTTTTTGGAATTGGTATATGATTTGGGTATAGTTTGTGAATTTTCTGTTTTGAACTTAAATACACCGTTAAAAATGTCCCTATTTTACCCGAGAGAAGGGAAAGGAGTCTGTTAATTATCTAGGTTATAGAGAAAATATTTTTTCTGCTTTAAACATGAAAACCACTTTGCCTGTCTCTAAAGGAATAGGGTTTAATGATTAACTAAACAAAACCGGTAGTGTATTTCTGATATATATCCGGATTTTGTTTATTCCTGCCAGAGCTATTGCGAAAATATGTTGGGTCACACGGAACTAAAATAAGTAGGATTTCATGAAATTTTCCTCGAAATTGCCAAGTTAACTTGGCAATAAATAAAGGTGCAGAGAGCATATTTGTCTAGGACAAGTGGGAAATCCATGCACCAAGATGACCTTCTCCTCAAACTCTCCTTAAAAACATAGCCAGCTGCTTCTAATTTTACGACGAGGCGGCGTGAATGTCATTCGAAAAGGTGTTACGATTTTAATCCACGAGTTAAAAAAGCACATCTTTGAGAGATCGAATTCTTAAAACTAACAATACAAAATGAGGAAGTGGTCATGAAAACACGGAGGTTTGAAAATGACCTATCACATCACTTGAGGCTCCCAAAAAGACTTACCATACACAGGCCTCAGGTTGCTATCAACATAATAAATGCTTACTTAACGCAAAAGGCATGGTCAAAGATACTGAAAACAAAGACGCGGACTGCATGTTAGTCAACTTAAGATCTTGGATCGTCATCGCCTATGAGCAGACAACATATTCAAATGACGGTAGACAGCAAATGTTCGTCTTATTTTGCACGAGGTGATGGTGTTAATGTTCCACGAGGCTCTAGATGCACGATGTTCGCACGTTCGCATACAAGTGTCTGCTTATTGTTTCAGCAGCCACTTGATGTAGTTTGTTCAAACAAAAATTTAAGGAAAGAAGTTCATACCGCCTCACAGTGAACAACAAACAACGTCTTCCTTTAAATGGCGGGGGCTGGACACAGTACTTTTATATACATCTAGTCTTCCTACGAAATAACGTCAAAATGGAGTTTCGCGAAACACGCCTGAAAATTCACCGGCTAAGCATCCCATTCTAGTATACGTAGGAGCAGCTATCATTTCGCCGACGGATCTGGAGTCAATTTTCTAGTATAAGAAAATAAATAGAAGAAATGAGTCCGGCACCTAGGGAAGCAGTTGTATTTCCTGGATGTTTCAAACTCATTTGTGTTCTTCGTTAGGTAATGTCGTCATGTCCAAATTGATTTGTTTTTGTCAAGCCTGTCATTTTTCGTCCACTAAGCAATCTATTTATATATGGTACGCTAGGGGAGGTCCGACCCGGTGATCACGGGAAGCCGACCTCCGAACACCACGATTCCTCCACCTTTTGAGTCCTTTTGATACCTGAGAGGCGGAAATGGTAATCGGAGTCACCAACGTGAATAAAGATTTAATATGAAGCCAAGAAGCCGAAGTCGGCACACACATCGATTAATCACCATCAGGCTTGTTCAATAATATGCGTCACGGGAAGGCAGCGAGAGATGAAAATAGACAATGGAAATGGACAGGGAAGAGGGCCGAGAGGTGTCTGGACATGCCAAACGAGGGCGAGGGATCATCTTCTCCTCCTGATTTCTGGAATGAACCGTAACTCCTCCTTGTTTGGCATGGTCAAAAACTCAATCCCTCACCATCCAATGACATTGTTTGTTTTTTCAACTTTCTCACAGGATTCTCTTACCAAAGCTAGCAAACAGCAGACACCGTCTGAAACAATCGCGATTTGTAGCCAACTCCTTTCATGCCATCCGATTCAGTGGAAAGTTTCTCTGCTTTATTTCTTGGAGCTCATTTTCCTTTAAAAACGAAACTATAAGGAGCAGGGTTTTTAAAAGTGGCTTACTACTTTGAATACTGTATGGGCTCTACCTCCTCATCAGAAACACTTTCGAACTCTGAACGTCTCGATCCGACATATTCTCATGAGCTTTTAGATTGCAAAGGTAGTGTCTATTATTACTCGGATTGAACTTGTTAGTTTAAGTAAAAATTCAAGAACCGTTCGATTAAAATTTTAATATCAACATGATTATGTTGGGATGTTTGGGATTTGCGGGTAATAGTGCGAAGAGGCTATATGCACAGGTTCAGAAAACTAAACATTTGACTTCATACGATTTTACATATTTTGAATCGTAAAGCTGTAAATGGGTCGATATTTAAATAAGTTATATTCCCATTAGTATACTAATTTGGACGGTTTATGGCGGTTAAAAAGAGTAAGATGGAGTGGGAGTCGAGCCTACTTCCAATCACGGAGTTGTTGAAAAAATAATACCTTGACACAGTCTCCATGCCGATCACCAGCTAATGAACGTCAGGCTATCGTGAATGCAGGTTCTACTGGAAATGCTTCTGCGTGTGCAGAACAGGCCATCACTTTTGCCATTACCAAGGGGCACGGCTATAGTGATTTCTGACACCTTATTGGGACTCGGTAGACTGGAAGACTTCCTCTGCGCTAACATGATGGCTCACCTAATGTGTGAAGTCATAGCTACTCTTGCCACCTGTCTCTCTTTTCGAATAACTTTAACATATGATATCTTATTCTTTTGCACAAACGTCGACTCGTTCGGTCACCGTAGCCCGCTCCACAGGATCAGTTGAATGTATGATTTCTGTAGTGGCGGTTCAAGTTTGCATCCTGTTTTTGTCCTGAGTGCGTACAAACGAGCCAATTGAAATTAATGTGCATGTTTTGGGAGTAGCAACTGTCAAAAATAGCATTATTTAAACGCACGTTTGTTAACTCATTCGATGTTTGGCTCTAAAATGATTGCTTAATTAAAACAGTTTTCCTTGCCGATGAGATCTGCTTTATATTCCCTAGGCAACTTAGCTATGTCTTTGAGAATATATCGGTCTGGCCAGTCGTTCTTACGGAGGAAATTCGAAAGCTTCACCTGTTTGGCCTCAGTTTTCAGGTGAATAAATGTTTTCAGTCCTTTTGACAAAAACTAATTGACATACGCTCCTGACATAGCCATCAAGATTGTTTAAGTTTAAAATATGTTCCTATCAGGGCACCTTTTGGTATGGGACCAATAGAAGGGAGAAATAA